GAATTAGTAAGAAACAACCAGGAGAGAAAAATAAAAATAACATCCCAGGACAAGGAAGCATCTGTGTTCTCCACCTCTGTCGGTCCCCAGGGTCAGTGCTGGCTGACCAGTTGGCAACTGAGATCTGCTCTAAATGGTTCAGGTACAGGCTGCTGAGCTTGGGCAGAGCCCTCAGAGGATTACTGATGTGGGCTGTGGGGCCCTGCAGCACAGAGCAGAGGAAGAGATGGCACGAACGATAACGCACAGATGATCACATCTCCCTCCTGCTTCAGCACTTTCTCTTATCTGCCCCGTGGCTCTTCTTCAAGTGAAGAGGGACTCTTCGTCTGCAGACTCTGCCTTCAGATCCCTCTCTGCTAGGGCTGTACCTCACACACACACCCCCCAGCCCCTGACACTGGAGATCCAGGCCCGGACTCTGCCTCCTGCTGTGGAAGATCACTATCAATCCGGAGCAACGGGCAGGGTTGGATGCTTGCAGCTCCTCCACTGTGACACAGGTAAGCATTTGCTTGTGCACACATGAGCCAGTTAGTGTTGTTAGTGTCACAGCTGGAAGGCAGACAGATACACATCCAGGAGAGTCGAGCAAGAGGAGTGTGAAAAGGCGCAGGACGCAATGCCAGGACCTTTACAATATTTGCATATATTGTAAAAAATATATTGCAAATATATTGCAAATATTGTAAAAAAATGCTGTTTTAAATACAAAACTTACAGCCAGTTCAGCTTCACAATGTTAAACAAACAGGTGATTTTCTAAAAAAAAACCAAAAAAACACCATGAGGTAGTTTGGCCCTAAATAATAAATTTGGTACTATTTTGAAAATGGTCTTTCCGAGTTCGCAATATGCAAATATTGTAAAGGAATCTTTCAGCTTTTAAAAGACAGCATCTATTCACAGTGGAATATTATAAGAGAGTCTCTGAAAATCCTAAACATGTTGTGTAGCCAGGACCGACATAGAGTGCATTGTTAGCATGAGTCCTCATGAGGTATTATTGCCCTCTTGAATAATAAAGTAACTGTCATATTCACTCAGCGAGTTTGCCATTTTCTGCTCATGCAACAGCTATCATGCTTTGTTTCTCAAAAAGCTACATCTTACAAATGTAATAAATAAATACATTACAACAGAAATTTGACAGAGTACTGCAGGATGTAAGGAAGAATTCACAGACTTTTTGTGAATATGCAAGATTTGTGGAGCATCTTTCTTCCCCGATGATTGTGTGTGGTTTTGTTTTTGGAAACATCATTATTGTATAAATGTAGTATGGTCGATAAAGATAATCCCGTAAACCTTACAGCCCATTCAGCTTCACAATGTTAAATAAACAGGTGATTGTCTAAATCAAACATGAGGTGGTTTGAACCTAAGGAATACATTTGTTAATATTTTAAAAATGGTCTTTGTGAGTTTTCAATATGCAAATATTGAAGACTCAGAAATAGTTTTTCTTTTTCTATCAGATTCTATTATGTATTTTTTTCTTTAAAAATAAAATAGTTAATAATAATCTTTTGTTTCTCAAGATTCAAGCCGTACGTTTGTGTAATGAATTTCTTCGTGTCTGATCTTTATATTTTCATTGTTTCATTTTGTTATTTTTAATAGTCTTTTATATTTTCTTTAATATATTCATAATGGTCCCTTGTAACCCAATCCAAAGGCAACCGACAGCCCCCTGCAGCACAGCCCCTCCTCCCTCCTGAGGCTCTGAGAGGGGCAGGGAGAGAGACGCCTGGTGGACTCATCTGGAAACCCCGGAGCAGAAGAAGCTCTGGACTGCTGTACACCAGGCAACTATCCCCACTGACAAGACAGGACACACAGCTCAGTCACCATTTACAAGGACAGTACACACACCTCAGTCCCCCGTTGACAAGGACAGGACACACAGCTCAGTCTCCATTGACAAGCAGCGGACAGACACTTTCTTTACTTCATTTTTCATTAACAAGCACAGAGTTATTGATTAAATCTCAATGGAAAACAGCACAATGGACAACGGCACTGCTCCTGATGAGCTCAGTCCCCGGCTGACAGGAGCAAAAATAGCTGAAATTGTTTTCTGCAGCTGCATCTTCTGCATTGGGCTGCCCCTCAACTGCCTCGCTGTGATCGGACTCTACAACCTAGTCAAGGCCAATAATGCCCAACCCATCTACGTCATCAACCTCCTCATCGCTGACCTCCTCCAGCTTGCTACATTGCCATTCACGATTCTTACCTTTTACTATTTCCAGTCTATTGAAATCATTGCTGGATTAAGCATTTTAATCATAGTCTATGGATTGTCCATCTTTGTCAGCATTGGCTTCTTTGTCTGCATCTCCCTGGAGAGATACGTGGCTGTCGTCCATCCCCTGTGGCACCAGAGCCACCGCAGCCCCAGGTTCGCCATCAAAGTGTCTGTGGGAGTCTGGCTGTTTCCTCTTCTCTTTTGCATCGCTGTTACTCTCGTCCTGTTTCTTCTCGATCTGCGGGAAAATCTTCCAGCCATTGGGAGTCTTCTGATCTTTGTGTTCTTCTTCCTTGTTCCACTGACCCTCCTTGTTTTCTTCTATGTCCGCTCCAAAGCCGCAATCACCTCCTCTATTGGAGCTCCGGATGTGAAGAAGAAAAGGGCCCTGCGTGTGCTGTCCGCTGTTCTCGTCCTCTTCATCGTCGTCTACGGACCCTTCTTCACTTTAAGTGTGATCAATGCTTTCCTGATTTCAATGGGTATTGTCACTAGCGTGGGACTGTCCTTGATGTCTGTTGTGATCCGCAATCTCAGCGTCATCGTAGATCCCATCCTGTACGTCTTCCTCAGGAATGATGTCAGACAGACGTTGTACGCCACCCCCTCCTGGCAGATGTTGATGGGGTCAGTGTGTTGGTGCTGCAGAGCCAGAGTTGATCATAATAATTCATAATAATGTTCATAATGTCCATAATGTTTCAGGAACACAGAGATTCCCCAGGTTGTTTCCACAGTCTGAACCAGGCAGGATGGGTTGGTTAAACAGTATAGGGCTAGATGGTGTATATTCGTATCTAAAACATGATATAAAATCCCAGACTTCTCTTATATCCTTCCTGTTAGCTTGTGTGGGTCAGTTACTAAAATCACATGTTCTCACTTATCATATCTATGCTGATGATACTCACATCTAAGTCCATACTAAACCTCACCCAGAAGCTGCTGCTTCTACACTCTCTAATTGCATCTGATATAAAAACCTGGATAACTCAAATTCTCCATCACTTAAACCATAACTGAGGTCATGTTATTCTACACCTCTCATCTAGTATGCAAATCCAATGCAGTAACCCTATCTGAGTAGGACACTGTGCTTGAATTTCAATGTAAATTAGAGAATTTTGGGGTGATATATTGGCCTGGCCCTCATGTGTAGAAATCTGTAATAACATCATTCTTCCATCTGAGAACGTCCTAAGCTGTCTTTGACATCTGCAGAAAAAGTGGACAACATATTAATCTGTTTCTAGAATTGATTACTGGAACACTCTACTGTTTGGGGTATCCAAATCCACACTGAACAAATTGCAGTATATTCAGAATTCAGCAGCCAGAATCCTGACCAGGTCGAGTGTGAGTGATCACATTACTCCTGTTCTGGCGTCCCTGCACTGGCTTCCTGTCAGGTTTTGAGTTGAAAATCCCAATGCTCACCTCCACGGCTTGGCACCACAATACCTAAATGATTTATCAATCTACTCCTCACTTCACAACCTTTGTTCTACTGACTTCTGTCTTCTTTGTTTTCCCAAGCCTGTTCACATTGTTTAGGTGACAGGGCCTTCTCCTGCTGAGCCCCAGGGCCCTTTAATTCTACCCCCAAGGATATCAGAGAGTCAGCATCTCTAGGCACTTCAAAATCCAGGCTCAAGACCTTCTGCTTCAGAGAAGCTTTAATTTAATTAGTGTTTGTGTCTTCTTATTGCAGCTACTACTACATTTTTAACCCCTTGGTTTAATTTGTGTTAATTTTGTTCTCTCTTATCTTGGCTTACTCTTTTCTTTGGCTTTATTATTCTTTCACTTTTTTTGTAAACTGCTCTGAGAATCTGTTTGTAAAGGTGCTGTATAAAATGCTATATTATCATTGGTGCGGTTAATTAAAAATGGCCATATAAAGCATGTGTGAAATCTGTTTTCTGCTCTACATTTACTGATCTTTCTCCTTCTCATATTTCCTTGACGTGAGAGAAGGCTGGCTCAGACCTTCACTTCGTCTTGTGACAATCTGTAGTCAAAACCACAGACATGCAAAAAAAAAAATGTGTCACTTTCTTATTTCAAGCATTTATCTTCCACTGTTTCCTCTACCTTCTTCGGATATTTTTATAAAATCTGCAAGATCATGTCTCCAATGGACTATGTGAATTCCACCACACATGCTGTCTCAATCTAATGGTTTCTGCTTGATAATAAATCAATAATCTACTATTAATTTCTACTTCCAATTCTTGAAGAAATCCAGGAAATGAACAGGAATGGGCTATCCATGAACTTTAATTGCATTAAAATGAGAAGTGAATATAAAGTCCAGTGTGTGCTTGCAGGATCCAGGCTGTCAGAAGGTGCTTTGTGCCATTAAACCCTCCTGCTGTATTTCATCCAGACTCTGGCTCTATCTTCCACAGCTCCTCAAGTATGAGACAGGGAAGGAATCAGCTTGCAATGTCTAATTGATAGTTGTACTGTCTGATGCCTATGATTTTGTGTTGTGACAAATCCAAGTGCAGGATGAGACAGGCACACAGAAGCATACAGTATATGCTACACCACCCAGGAGTACTGTTGACTTGAACAGTTGGCATGAACTCGGTTAACTGCCAGGAGAGTCTCCTTGTGACTAGTGCTTCAGATTTAGGCTTTTATTTTGGTTATTTTTAATACGAGTTTTCAACTGTCTTTACTACTGCTCCTGCTCGTTTTTGTACACTTATAACACCTATAGAATAGGTAAGAATAACACCTGTTGATTCCGCTATTTCAGGTCTATTTATGAGGTTTTTACCGTAAATAAGTCCCTACACGTGAGAAGGTAAGTTCCTCAGCAGAGTGCGGTGACTCATCGACCCTGATCATCACAGTCACTGTGGGGTTCAGTGGACCCAGAGCGAGGACCCCAACACTGAGACTGGACACTGGTGCATCTCTGGTCGCAGTACATGTACTACTGATACAAATCCACTATTTCCATTATTTGTCTCTGAATAAACAAGAATCGTTAATTGTGCACTTCACACAATGAATGATAAAACCTCACAGAGCGAGCAAACTCCAGCAGCCTAGCAGATAGTGGTAGGTAGTGGCTAAAGGTCATGGCTTCCTAAACCAGAGAAGGTGGGGTTGGGTTCCATCTGGGCTGTTGTCACTTTTTTTTAGTGTTCTGTTATGGACATACAATTTTCTTTTAAGAGCAGATTGGCTTCTCTTCCTGTGGATTCAGACACTGCCTTATCACCCGTATGAGTTTTTTTTCTTGTATACAGCATAGGCGAGACAAATAAGATGAGATCTTGTTTCCAGACAGATCCTAATGCCTGTGACACCATGCACTTTATCTGAAAACGAAAAACGCAGCTGGGAAGCGAACCCTGAACTCCACCTGTAAAGCAGGGACACTCTCAGGTGTACTTAAAATGAAACATGTTCAGCAATACACTTTCAGCTATCTGTGCTGCTGCCACTCCTCTTGGTAGGATGCACCTATACTATCAGTGATTGCATTTTTATTGATTGTTTTTTAATAGTAGAAAGTCCGTTCAGAAGAGCAGGTAAAAGCAAATGGCTGTTTACCTGCTTTTAGTGAGTGCAAACGCTCAAGGTACTCCAAAGGTCCTGTTGTAATTATTTTCAGCTTGCAGTCTGTTTCTGTTGTCTAAGCTGTTGTCGGAAAAAAGCCGCATGTGGGGGCGCCCTCTGTGGAGATAAGGGTCTCGCTACCCCTGCAAGAGAGAAGAGCACTCAATCGGGCACTGAAAGGACTCATTAATGGGCTGGTTAGATCAGTCGGTTAGGGCATGGTACTAATAACACCGTGGTTGTAGGTTTGATAGCTGTACAGGTCAGTGTGTTTCAATTTTCTTTTTTTCCAAAACCTCTTTACGTTCCTTTAGGGTCATGTTGCAATACATGTTATATCTAGTTACTATGAAATCATCAAAACTTGCTTGACTGAACTTTCCTGTACTTTTAAAGGTGCCACATTGAAAGATTTTAATACTGGTGTCACACTGTATTTTTAATTATAGTGTGATAACCAAGCAACAGAAGAGGCTCATGAGAACAGCTGGGAGTGGGGTCAGAAGTCAGGATGGCTGAGCAGTCTCAGGTGCTGTGGTGAAGTTGTAGTCTCCTCTGGAGGCAGGGGTTCAAATCCCACTTCTGACAGGCACTTTTTTCCATTACCGTATATACTAAAAAGGAGAAAAGACCCCTGAAGAAAACTGAGACACTTTCCTCCGGGGCTCAGGGTGGGATGGAGGAGGAGAATGGAGAGCCCCAGAGCAGCAGAGGAGAGAAAAGTGTCCCTGAGAGAGCGGCTGAAAGCCTGCGGGAAGGAGCAAGTGACCGTGAACTGGACAGAGAGGATAGCCAGGCTGACCACGAAGCTGGAGGTCCCCGACCCTTGCTGAAAGTAGAGATCCTGCTGGCTTTAGTTTCTCCAGCAGTGGTTTAGCTGCTGCTGCTGGCCAATCTCAGATGAGCACCGCAAGGAATGGTCTTTCAGTTTGTCTGGGGGTGAAGGTACATGTTTGTCACGAAAAAACGCATCTGTCAAACAGTCAAGGAAGGGGGTAGAGACTTGCTTGACTGTATCTCTGTCGGCCATCTCTCTCTGTCTAAAGCTACGGGATTCAATAGACCATAGGTACCAATGCTGTGGTTTCCCTCCCAAGGAGGCACCTGATTCAGTGGTCAAACACAGAACCAAAAGCAGAAAAGTGACTTGGAATCCACACTCCAGAACTTAACCCATTGTAAGGCAGCAATGAGAGCCACTGTGCCACCATGCTGCCCTTCATTTGGATAATTATCATTAAATTCTGTTTTTAGTTTACACTAAATGAGTTCGTCACTAGTTCTTCATCAGCACAAGTACATCTAATTAGTAAGAAACAGCCAGGAGAGGAGGAGAGAAGAACAAAAATGAGAACTTAAAATAACTTTTTTCTTCTGATGATCATGCTGATGATCAGTTTGAAGAAACCAAATTGGTTTAATTTGTTTCTGCAATCTAGCACTGTGGTACAAATTTCATGTATGCAGTGTTCACTCAAGACATCAGTGAGTTCTGTGTACATCAACTTGAGGGTTGTCTGCACAACATCCTCACGATGCAAACTCTGAAGTTCATTCAAAATCTGTCATGTAATCGATCTGCGATGTTTGTTTTTCTCTCCACTTTGGAAGATCAGATTTTCCTTCTTGTATCTACTTGAAGTGAGACAATGCAGGCTCAAGCCCTTCATGTGTCACTTTTTCTGTAGATCAACAGTGCAGTAGAGATCAAGTGATTGGAAAAGACTGGTCAAAACCAAAGACGTGCAAAAAACATCCAGCTTTCGGAAGAGAAGACATTTAACAACCTCTGTTCTCTCTGTCTTCTAAGGAGCTTTTTTAGTGCTGAAAAATCATGTCTCCAACAGACCACGTGAAGCAGTCGATGGACAGAGTGACATGGTATAAGAGCACTGGAGCAGAAACACTTCATCTCAAATGGAACTGAAACGAAAGTTTACAGTCATTGATGATCTGCAATCCCAAGAATATTACAAAAGTCATAGCTGAGATTCAATCATTTATGCCATCTTGATCTATAGGTTTCAACTTACTTTTTATTGAAGAATCTTGCTCATCCTTGGATCTAATAGTCTTATTAATTTCTAGTTTCAGTTATTGAAGAAACATGGGGTTTTAATGTGGAATCATCAAAACAACACAGAGATAAAGCTGTATAAAGGCATACGGTAGATGAGGAGAAGGGTATAAACACATTTCAAAGACAAAGACCAAGATTCAAGAATCAAGATTGAATATTTATTGCCTACCAACCTAATGGTTAGGAATTTGCCTCAGTGTGCTCATGACAGTTAAACAATAAACAATAAGACAAAAACATCAGGCACAACATAACATCAAACCATACGATACAATTAGATTACTTAAAAAATAAGAATAAATAAAAGATAAATAAAAATAACAAGAAATCTAATGTAGTATTAAAAACGTGACTGGTACATTGGAGGGTTTAGAGTCCTCTTGCATTGTCAATAATCATCTTAAGGTGCTGATGTATGATTAGGGAGCTGCTCAGTATCCAGATACTGTTACAATACTCTAAGTACTGCTGAGGAAACGGGAGGTTTTGGTCTTAATGGTTCTGAGTCTTTTTCCTGAGGAGAGGGGTATGCACACGTTCTATTACAGCTTTGTAAAACTGCAGCATCCCCTTTCTAGAGACACAAAAAGAAGCATGTTTGATTATCCATAACAATATGGATGAAGTTGTTCTCCCATTTAAGAGAGCAAGAGATTATTGTTCCAAGGAACTTAAAGTTGTCCCCTCTCTCTACCTCCTGGCCATTAATGGTCAGTGGCAGAAGGGCCACCCTGCCTCTCCGGAAGTCAAGCACCAGCTCTTTAGTTTTGGAAACGCTTCAGCTCTAGGTTCTTAGAACAGCACCAGTCAACTGGGGATAAAACCTCATCCCTGTAAGCTGATTTATTATTACGTGAAACCAGCCCCATGTTCTCTTTGAACATGGTAAAGCTGACAAAGAAGTGGACAAAACCCACCACACAGCTGGGTTTCACATTGAGAAAAGTTAAATAGGAACCGGGAATGAGAAGTAACAGATGATAGCAGGTGTTCTTCTAATACTCAGGGCTTCGGTGAATTCTGAGTAAATCTACTGGAGGGATGTCTGAACTGCATCCTGCTTGGTGCAATTCAGTTAAGCCCAGGGCAACTGAACAACCATCTCATTGCAAATAACCTCTTTGGACCCTTCCAATCTGGATTCAGACAGTTACACAGCACTGAAACTCCATTGTTAAAGTCACTAACGATCTTCTTGTGGCTGCTGATTCCCTATCTCTAGCTGCCCTTCTTTGCTTTGAGCTCAGTGCTGTGTACGATGACCAGGGGAAGGGTCATCCAGGACAGGTATTTCAGGAACGACCTGCTCAATATACTAGACATAGACCTGAGCAAGACGGCCGCCAAGAGAAACCAGCTGAACCGCAGATGGAAAAGGCTTAGTCCAAAAAACAACGAGACACAGGTGTGTCTCATCAGGAAACAAAATATATATACCCTGGAAACAGTGAACCGGCATGGAAGCCAGTAGGTGAATGCATTTTGGAGGAGATAGTGGAATCAGGTTGGTGTTGGTAAGGATTAAAGAATAACAGATTAACATAAGAAATAAAGGATTATGATTTACAGTTTGTGATTTGGATACGACGCGAATTTGTGGTACTTTTACGGACTTTGGAACTTGTACTGAATAAGGATTGAGCGAACGGATTGCGGATTGGCTTGGAAGACGTACGGACTGGAGAAACAGAGAAAACTCCCCGGAAATAAAAGAAGAGAAGCGTGGTGTGAGTACTTTTGTCTCGGTTACATAAACCTTTCCCCCGGAGACACCACAGCTGCTTTTGAAAATGATTATAATGACATCTTACTTTCTTGTCCTGAGACTGACTCTGACATCCCTCTTACCTCTGCTTAAACTTTTACCTTACTGATTGCCAAGTCTTTCTCTCTCTTAGGGGTTTCTGCATTTTCTAATTGCATCTCTGACTTCTATCTCAGAAATATAGGCAGACTACACCCTATGTGGTCTCTCACAGAAAATTGGTCAACACACTCATCTTTTCTAATATTGATACTCCAATGACCTACTTGGTGCTGTATCAAAATCCACACCAAAACCAAACTTCTAATTTTCCTGAAGTCAACAGACAGTATCTGTCACGCCCTCTGCAGCCAGAGGGCGCTCCTTCTCTG